CGGTAGGAGTAGCGAGTGGGGGGGAGGAGCGCTTGCTTAGTTCGTATACTGCTTATTGTGGGTTTTATACAATCTACGTTGTAATTCCATTATAATATTTTCCCCAAAATTTATATAACATGTTAAATCTTCTGTTTTAAAACAAAACAAAGTGTTTTAATAAGTTTTTTTTTACCCGGGGAACTTTTTAACATGTTGAAATTCCCCTGAAAAAGAAGTAAAGGTTTGCTGTGCCTAAAGCTGAGAAATACCGTACTGTACCGAGAAGTGAATAGGTCACCTGAAGAAAATCTTCCAAGAGTTTGCTGTACCGTCCCGGTCTACTCACCGAGCACAGACTGCCTTATGTTCTTCTTTTGTGCTGAAAGGGAATCTTCCGTGCCGCGCCCCAGATTATATGTATTCAGGAACCAAGCAAACCAGGCAGGCAAAGAAAAGATCTCTCTCAGCGCTGCTTGCGTCTGCTTTGCCAGACGCATATATTCAGTATTCCTACAGGGCAAAATAACATATGTTTTTAATTTTCTGGGAAAAAAAGTTTTCCAAAATCAACTTTTAGATAAAGTTAAACCCAATGTTTTGGAATGAATTTACTTTTCATAAAATGCTAATTTATTTTAAACCTTAATCTTATATCTCGATTGCCGCATTCATGGTAGAATTGATCACTGTGGGAGGAGGGCACCCCCGCATGAAGGGGGGGGGGTGAGCATGAGTAAGGGGCCTATCTCACTGGTTTTACTTATACACAAATATAAATATTAGATGAATCACTAATTAACTTCAAGACTTACATAAGCGTACAAAATATATCAAAATAACTTTCTGTTTTGGATTTTAGAGAGGTTTTAGTAATCTAATCTTTATTGTTAACCCTAAATTTCATTGGTGTTATATTTCTGCAAGGTTAAAAAAGATTTGAGGTACGTTACTAAAAGAATTTTGCTTCATTTTGTCTATATTTTAAGTTTCTAATATTTAAGCTCAAAGGTTTACTTAAAAAACCTGACAGCCCTTCTCAATATGAATTATGTTATCTAATTATAACCCACAATATTATAGTGCAAAGGTTCAGTGGAATTTTGGAGTAAATTCGTAAAGAAGTGCTATAAGTTTTATAAGTTCAAGAATAAATTTATTGGAAATTAAATGTTATTAATTATTCAATTACAATTTTTTTTTTTTTTTGAAATTTCCTTTAATAATGGACTATAAAATAATGTGTCACATGCTAATATTTGTCAAAAATAGAAGTAATTCAAACCTTTTTGACCAGTGCTTAAGATCCATTTAATTTTGATGATCCGGATCCTGGATCCGTACTGGAAAAAATGGATCCGGATCCGGATCCTGATCCAGGTCATTTCTTTAAGATTTACTGAATTGTTTTAACAAAAAATAATTTTCAAAATTTTTGTTTTATTTTTTCCCGCTTATTTTTATCTTAACTTGATGAACCATTCTGAAATGAGGAATTTTTAAAATCACTCTTTTTTTCAAAAGTTCAGATTTGGATTTAGGAGTTAAAAAGTTTTTTTTGCAGTTTTTGGTTGATTTTTTACCCCGTGGATCCGCATATTTTTGCGGATCCGGATCCAAGAAGCCAAAATCTTACGGATCCGGATCCTAAGCACTGGCTTTTTCGATAATTTTTTAAACGCCTTACTGGCACCCTTACCATTAAAGTGTATGGTAATTTTTTTGTTAAAGAGCTGGCCCTTAGAATTTGGACAAAAGAGATAAATCACACTCCCTTTGCATTTGCTCAATATAAGGGCATAAAGTCCAATCGAAATATGGGTTGAAGGGGATGAACGGCAATGTATGGTGGTTGAGCTGAATATGATGTATTGTCGACACATTTTTTAGGATTCATTCGAGACATAAAAAACGTTTCTACTACTAATATTCACTGAGTTTGATCTCAAAGTCGACGTTCAAAATCATAAATTTTGGTGGGTCAGTTTTCAGAATCAGGTTTTTTCTTAATTATTAAATAACGACGACAAAAAATATAGTAAAAATTCTATAGTAAACTAATTTGATGTTTAGGAACATCTTTCTCAACAGAAATTTGGCAATAATTAATGTTAGAATTAAGTATTTCCTTTTTTATCATTATATTAAATTTCTTATTTTCTATGACTTGGTTCTCAGTTATCTACACATTCGTAAAATACCGTCTTTTCAATCAAAATTTCAGCAAATCTGCAAAAAATCTTTGTGAATAATGAGAGATTATCGAAACTAATAATTGAAAAAGTTACTTGTTTTTTGTGATAAGAGTTAATTTTTATTTTCTCGACCTGTTCCTAAACAACTAATTAGTTTACTGTAGAATTTTGTTTAAATTTTTGTCGGTGTTATTTAATAATTAAGAAAAAACATATTCTGAAAAAGTACCCACCCAAATTCATGATTTTGAACGTCGACTTTGTGCTCAAACTCAGTGAATATACAAAGTAGAAACGTTTTATTGTCTCAAATGAATCCTAAAAAATTTGTCCACAATACTATATATTAAGTTCAACCACCATACATTGCCGGTCATAATTTTTTCTAAGATTTCAAACTTGACTCAAAAAAATTTTGATTTTATGCACTGGGGATGGGGTGACCTGAGGTATAGGGGAGCGGGAGGTTTTTTTGGGGAATGGAATGTAAAGAAAAGAGTTAAACTTGCATCTTAAGTTTTAATATGCTTAACAAAACTAATTTTTTCTTTCAAAAGTTTGTTGCTTTAATGAAAAAAACTCACTTGTGTCTTTCAAGTTAAATGTCCTGAGGGCCCAGGGGTATGGAGAGGGGGGGGGAGGGGAGGAGATAAGGAAAATACATTTTTAGAAAAAAATATTTATTAAGACCTGTTTTCAGGGATGGCGTCCCCTGAAGCTGTGTCTCCAGTGGATGAAGGAGGGGGCGGATCTTCCCCGCCCACCAATACAGTTTTCTGCTTGTACTGCAGGGCAACTATATACTTCCCTGGGCTGCCTGCTAACAGGTAAAGAGGATATTTCAAGTCATTTCCCATTTTAAGAGTGGAATGCAGGTCTGATTCACAACAGTCCCTCTCTAATAAATAATGTGGTGGATTTGTCGTTTTTTTTAGCTAAAAAATAGTGACAATTTCCTTTATTGTTTCTTGAGCATAAATGCGCGATTCATTCTAAATTGAAACCTCGCTTGAGATTGATACATTTTCTAGGAGAAGATTATTTATTGCTCATGCAGTCTATTTATTAGACATTTTCTTTGATGGTACCTTTCTGAACTGGACATAACACTCCGTAAAGAGAGTATCAATCGAAATCACGTCTACAGTTCCTTAAAATACAAACCAATCAAGGAACATTTAATACTAGCTGAAGGCCCCGGCGTTGCCCGTGGAAAAAAAACCAAAATTGTTCTAGCCGATGTCACCCTCAGGCTACCCATGATTGTCCACAACAAATTTCAGCCCATTTGGTCCAGCTGTTTGGCCGGCTTTAGGGAACATATACACGAGTGTCTTGTTTTATTATATAAAGATGTGTTAATCGGATTTTTGAAAAATTGAACACTGTGGCCCCCGAAAAATCGGAAACTTGATTTCAAAGTTGTTCAGTGGAAAAAAATTCTTTTGAGCTTCTCTGAGCCAGCCTTTTAAACTCTGCAAATTAATGTACAAATTTATTTTTTATTTTTCTTCCTTATCTTTACAATGTACATGTTTAGGACATGAACCTTCACTATTTACATGTTTGGGTACATGAACCTTATTTTACAATGTTTAGGTACATTAACCTTTTCTTTACAATGTACATGTTTAGGTACATGAACCTTATTTTACAATGTTTAGGTACTTTAACCTTTTCTTTACAATGTACATATTAGGTACATAAACCTTATCTTTACAATGTACACATTAAGGTACATGAACCTTATCTTTACAATGTATAAATTTAGGTACTTGAACCTTTTCTTTACAATGTACATAAACCTTATCTTTACAATGTTCATATTTAGGTACATGAACCATCTGTTTACTGAGCACAACATCATGTACGAGGTTCAGAGTGTTATCAACAGAACACTGTAAGTTCCTTTTTAGCTTCATTTCTCTTGATTTTATTGAGGAAGCAAATATTTAAGTTTTAAAAAAAAATCGTTAAAATGAGGTTATCCTTACTGTCGATTTAAACCCTGAACATAATGAACATCAAAAATGTTTAATTTTGTAATATTTTTGTTTAATTTTCTAATATTGCGTTTGATTTTGTAATATTTTTGTTTGATTTTCTAATGTTTTGCTTAATTTTGTAATATTTTGTTTAATTTTCTAATATTTTGTTTTGTCCTGTAGTGCTCTCCAGCTACCTAAGGAGTATCCTGAATTGGCTGAAGGCTCAATGAGCCTTCCTGATTCATCAAACCGTCTCAGCTCACCTGTCCCAAGCTCAGTTGGAGGTGCCAGTCCTGCTCCAGCCTCACAAACAGTCTTTTATGCAGGTTTTTGTTTTGTTCTCAATATGAGATTTTTTTGTTTTCAAAATAAGAGGTTTTTTTGGGGACGGTAATTTTTTTTTTAAGTTGGGGGAATTAATTGTTGAAAAAGGAGTGAAAAAATAAAGTGTATTGGTATTAAGACTCCCATCTAAAAATCCTGCCTATTTTCACAGATAGTCAATCGTCATCTATAATTGATTTTTTTCAAATTGAAATTTATTTATGCAGTTATGTGAACTTAATGTTTAAAGTTTTGTTTAACAACCCCCATTTAATGTTTTTTTTCCTCAAAATCAAATTTTTATTTTTAGAGAAATGTATTCAGACTGATTTTGTTAAGATCTGTACTTCAGAATGCCAGGTTATTTTTATACGATATCTTTTTATTAGACAAAACTGTAAAAGAGAAAATATTGTTTTGCTAATTTTAGCCAAGAATAATCTAATTTTTGGTGAAAAGTAAGAAAAGAAACCATCATTGTTGAAGTTTTTTCACAAGAATTTTAAATCTGTTATTTCCATATTTTGTTAATTTAGGCTCCAATGACAAATTTTTATTTTTTATTTTTCCTACAAGGATTATTTATTTTCTTATTTATAAAATGATTTTTAATTTCTAGACTGATTCTGAGTTGGATTTAAAGAGTATACTGGTTCAGGTTCATACAAATGAGGAGGGGAATGTGCAGAAGGTGCAGAAGGTGGAGAAGGTGGAGAAGGTGGAGAACGGGGAGAAGGTGGAGAAGGGGGTGGGAAAGGAAGAGGTAGGAAGAGAAGGAAAGAGAACTGAAAAGGAGAAGGTGAAAGAAGAGGTGAAGAGAATGATTGACGAGGCGGGCAAAAATAGGAAATTTGGAGTTACTTGTCAGATTTGCAAGGTAGGACTACAGAAATTTTCATATCTATATACAGATATATATAAACTTGAAATCTCTGTTTGTTTCTCCGATCCCATCACCCATCCCATCACCGATTTGCCTCAAATTTTGATTGGGGAACTCGGGAGAACCATAAGACTGTTCTTACCTTGGTTAAGTGGGTCGGCTTATATTGAGAAAAATAGCTCTAAAATCGTAATTTAAGACCAAGCGCGGGTAAACGGCGGGAGTAACTCTGAGTAACATAGGCAACACTGGGTTCCCAAGCTAGTATATATTTTCCATTTGGTTAAAATGTGTTGCATGGAGTGCTAACAATTTCGAGGATTTTATCGCTGGTTTTGAACTTGTGGAGGAAAAAATAAGTATTTGAAAAGTACCAAAAGAAGTTTAACTCGCCAAATCAAATTCCTTTACGCCTTAAGAGACAATTCGTGGTGTTGGAGGGGATACAGATCAATTTTACAATTTTTTAAACGTTCAATCCTTAAAATTATAAACCAATCGGTTATTTTGCTGGATCAGCTGATTTTTGGGTTTCTTTTAAATATATGTAACATTTATTTTCTAAGGTTCGGTATAAAAAGCTGCACAAATTGAAGTTCCATATAATGAAGCAGCATGCTAAACAGATCAGTGAAAATCTTCACTCGAAGGTTAGTTAGTTATTATAACAGGGGATGCATTTTCTACCACTATCTCTCCTTCACCCCATATTTAAATTATGATGTTTTGGTGGTGGTGGTGGTCCCGGGGGGTAGTATTGAAAAGAGATAAGATAACATAGTCTCTTAGTCCTTTTTTTTCCATAATTGACAAAAATACAAAATAAAAGTATGAACTGCAAAATGTATTTCTGAAATGTTAAACAAAAGCCTAAAATGTCAAATAAAAGTCTGAAATGTTAAATAAAAGCCTGAAATGTTAAATAAAAGCCTGAATTGCTAGATAAAAGCCTGAATTGCTAAATAAAAGCCTGAATTGCTAAATAAAAGCCTGAAATGTTAATAAAAGTCTGAAATGTTAAATAAAAGCCTGAAATGGTAAATGAAACACTAAACTGTTAAATGAAAGACTAAAATGGTAAATGAAAGAATAAAATGGTAAATGAAAGACTTAAATGTTAAATGAAAGAGTAAGATGTTAAATGAAAGACTAAAATGATAAATGAAAGAATAAAATAGAAAATGAAAGATATAAATATTAAATATGAAAGACTAAAATTAAAATTGTTGTGTATAGATGATTGGAGAAGTAAGGACGGAGAAGGAATCTCAGCCAGGACGGAAAAGTTCCAGGATAGAGTTGAAGAAGGATGAGGAGAGAGGAGAACCAAAACCTGACATGAAATCAGATAATAATCAAGAAATCCCAACCAGTTTAATTCTTCCCAAGGTTTAGATTTTTTTAAAACTTTCCCTCAGATTTATTAGCATACAAAATTTTGAACTTTAGACAAATTTTACATACATACTTAGGGAAAATTTTTCTTTATTATTTCTTAGCTGAACATGTTCATTTTTTAGGGAAAACTTTTTTTTTTGGGGGGGGGGGTAATGACTACAGTTAAAATTTCACTGATAAACTTTAATCGTTATTCCACACAAAAAATATTTTAATTTAAAGCTCGATTAAGTGCCAAATCCCTGGGACAGAGGTCTGATTTTTTTGGCTTTTTGATTGGCCACATTGAATTAGCTTAATCTGCATGGTTAATGTTTTCTAAAGGGATTAATTTTTTTAAAGTTTTGAACACCCCTTCAAACTATTTCTTATTATTAATATTTTTTTTGCCTAGGACGAAGAGTGGAGTGAAGGGTGTAGATATTTCTGTATGCTCTGCTCAAACTCATTTAGTTCATTTGGAGTTTATAAACACCATATAGGCATTCATCATATATATTTACTATTTAAGGAATGGTAGAAGAAGAAATCAAAAATCTGTGCGAAAATCTAAAAGAAAGGGGAGGAAATGGAGAATGACGTTAATTGCAAAAATAAATTGTTTTTTTAGGAAAGGGTTACGGGGAAACTCTTGTATGTTTTTAGTTGGAAGACTATTTTTATTTTGGGTGATTTAAATCTACAATTGGCTGCCTTCAGTGAGGTGTAAAAGTGGTGCACACATTTTATTGGGGGGGGGGGGGGTCTTTGTGAGCTACACCCCCTCGGATAAGTGAAGACTATCATTTCCAGGTGGGAATTGTTAAAGATTAAGCCTCCAATTGGTCTAGTGTGCCTGATGATGAATGACGATGATTGAAGGAAACTTCCATGGGATGTTGATTGAAGAATATCGAGCTAAGTTTGGTAAACATGGTGAAGTGATCAGTAAACTCAACTGTAAGGTGACTAAACTCAAAATTTTAAAATTTTAAGTTTTTTATTGAAGAACAGTTAATTTTTTCTAAATACTAAAATATATGTTTCTCAGTGCTTTTTATATCTTAAAAATTATTTCTTTTTGTAGTTCATGAATTATAAACAAAATTAGTAATAGTATTCGTAATGCCAGATATTATGTTTTTTCATTTGTTTAAAATCCAGATTATAAAAGTTATTTAAAAACTAACTATTTGACTTTAACACAATTATGTTGCAATTTGTTTATTTTTGAACTACTATTTATATTCATATACAGTACTTTTGCAAATTAGGTAGGGGGTACTACAGTTGGTGTTTATATGAATACAGTGAAGACGACTTTTCTATTTAAGTTTTGATTTATAACAAGCTTTTTCAAATTAAAAGTTTACAAGTAAACAACGAGAAGCTGTTTATAAATAGCATTTCTTTGTTTCCATGTCTATGCTGTTTGAAAGCTTGACATGAATCAAAATTGAAATCAAAATTCGTCTTCATTGCATTAATATATACGACGACGACTGTATTAAACCTAAATTTAATTTTGATTTTTTTTGAATATTTTGAAAAAAGCCATTTTTGTTTAGATCTGTCAGCAGACCATTGTGCACAAGAATAGTGCCATCAAGGCGCACATGAAGAGTGCGCACAACATGAGTATCTCGGAATACAGGGATAACTACATCCTTAATCAGAATATAGAGGACGAGATCGAGGACAGGGACATGGAGGTAGAGGACGCAGAGATAGCAGAGGACGCTGAGATAGCAGAGGACGCTGAGATGGCAGAGGACGCTGAGTTGACAGAGGCCGCACAGTTAAAGGATGTAAGAAAAGATTACGAGGCTGAGGACGAAGACGAAGAAGAGGAGGAGGAGGAGGTTATGATGAAAGCTGGTGATTCGGATGAGATTGAAATAGATGAGGGGGAGATGATGTCCAATGGGGATGGTGAGAGGAGGAGATGGTATGAAGGATGCTCTTATGTCTGTATACCTTGCAACAAGGAAATGATTTATTCTCAGAATTTTTTATTAACCAATATTATTTTAATGATTTAAAGAAAAATTATATTTTTTAAAAAGAATTTTTGGTTATTTCTGAAAGAATGATCGCCGCTTCTTCTTCTGATAAAAAAGAAACTTTCCGACACTGTCTTATCTATCCTAGCCTAATCTAACTCTTGATAGTGTACACTCAAAGAATGTTGCTCTTCTGAAGAAGGGGTAGGTGGGAGGGTGCAGAAGAACTCTGAAATGGCTGGCCCGAATTTTGACGCAAAACATTTCAAAATCGCCCCCCCCGTGAAAAAAAAACTATAGAATTGGAAGACGATATTTAGTTCGAATGTAAAGGTTTTACCTGCAAATTATCTTGTGAAATGGGTCTGTGTACAAAGCACTATTGCTGTTCATGTTCATAATCTACTGATCAAATTATAACTTGATTTAACAGTCGTCTTCCTATTCCACAGTTTTTTTTTAGTCTGAATACATTTAGTTAAATCGTATGTAAAGAAGCTGGATATGGTTCCTGGGGGTGGGGGTTCAAGGAAAATAGGGGAATGAGGGGTAATTCTGAGTTGAAGCATTTTTCGAAATGTCTTCCTTTAACGAATAAGGAATCCTGGGACAAGTGGAGTAGAGGGAAGGGGAGTACAATAAGATAGGGAAGGTAATGAGACGTCGGGGTTTCCCGGCAAAGCTTGGTACCCACACAATATTTTTTATTAATCTAATCTTGAATAAATGATGTAGAATTACGACATTTATTTCTCGTACCACGGTCACGTGAAGAAGATCCATAACCTGAGTATGGAACAGTATCATGCAGAATACGGGCAGGAGGGGGAGACCAATAGGTATTATTTCAGTCGCATATATTTAACCAATAGGTAATATTTCAGGCGTATATATTTAACCAATAGGTAATATTTCAGGGGTATATATTTAACCAATAGGTAATATTTCAGGGGTATATATTTAACCAATAGGTAATATTTCAGGGGTATATATATTTAACCAATAGGTAATATTTCAGAGGTATATATTCACCCAATAGGTAATATTTCAGGGGTATATATTTAACTAATAGGTAATATTTCAGGGGTATATATTTCACCAATATGTAATATTTCAGGGGTATATATTTACCCAATGGGTAATATTTCAGAGGTATATATTTTACCAATAGGTAATATTTCAGGGGTATTTATTTAACCAAAAGGTAATATTTCAGGGGTATATATATTTAACCAATAGGCAATATTTTAGACGTATATATTTACCCAATAGGTAATATTTCAGGGGTATATATTTAACCTATAGGTAATATTTCAGGGGTATATATTTAACCTATAGGTAATATGGGGTATATATTTTCTTGAAAATATCTTCTTTTAAAAAGAAAAAATTCGGAATGTTAACATTACTTTTGGTTTAAGTTTATTTAAGGAGAAAATTCAATTAATGATTAAAAATGATTTGAAAAAAGTAACAATGCAAAGTAAATGGAATTAATTGGTAGTGTTG